TCAATTTACAAACGCCTCTGGATTTTTAAAGGGCGTTGAAGGGTTTATTTACAAAGAACAAACACTTGTTTGTTTTTTTATTTTGTTTTGTATTTGTTTGTTTGGAGTTTTTTTTTTGTGATATATATTTTTAAAATCAATATTTTTAAAATATCATTACTATACTATGAGTTAAAATTAGCATAGAAACAAATGCCCCTGATTAAATTAATAAAATTTGTAGAGAAATAATGAAGTAAGTTTTTATAAACCTAAACATTTAAACCTCTTTCTTTGATTGATTCAAACAATCCATAGATTGCATCCAAGTATCCGGATCAAAAGTGAAAAGACGAAGAAAACATACGAAGTAACTCACGTCTTATAGTCGTGTATTCTTGGTTATATTTTTTAGGAACGCGATTAGAAAATGTGACAGTATTATCAATATAAACGTGTTAACAAATATAAAAAAATAATTTATAACAAAACGCTACAACTGTGCATTTTTAACTTCAATAAAAAGCCTATGAGATGTAAACGACGTTTCGGGACCTGACAACACGTTTCGGGACTTAGGTTAACACGTTTCGGGACTTGGGCTAACACGTTTCGGGACTTCTAAATATTTTGTTAAGGAAATGAAATAAAACTTGTTTACTTGTGTTTTTAAGTTTATACATGTATGATTTCTTAGTTTGATACGCAATTTATTATTTAAAAAGCACAGATTGGAGTTTTTATTAGTTTTAAAGTTTGCATACGGCATGGAGCACGCCTGCCGAGAAAATCAAACGCCCGCGGTGTTGTCTCTTTAATTTCTTATTTCAGTATTTGATATATTACCTTTATAAAATAGTTGGTTAACAATTGACCAAAATTTAATTCAAAAAATGTTTTTTTTAATGTGTATTTGATTTATTTCTAGTGTTTGATTCGAGAGTTTGTAGAATACAGTCGTATATATATAATTCCTTATTCAATAACTTTAAGCCATACGGCTCATCAGTTTATATAAACAAATATACATAATGAACGAGAGGTGAGAGTCTGCGGGGGTTGGAACCCCTAGTGTCCATCTGCCTGACTCCCATACTGGTACACCAACAGATATACAATATATTTCAAATTCTCCATTATTATATGAAAAATTATTATAGCATGATATACTCAGTAAAACATGAATACATATGAATTATATTATTCGTTATTTCTTGTAACAGATATACAATTATATATTTCCAATTCTCCATTATTACATGAAAAATTACTATGGCATATAGTACATGTATATATATGAATTATATTATTCATTGTTTCTTGTAACAGATATACAATATGCTTCTAATTCTCAATTCTTAAATGAAAAAATACTATTATTATAGTATATAATACATGAATACATATGGATTATATTATTCATTATTTCTTAATTTCATGGCATGGAGAATAAATTTCCCTAAACCAATTAAAACCCTAACATCATGAGAGCTGAGTAACTGAGTAAGCTTGTACATATTTGGTGATCTGAAATAATATGGTTTGATATATTTTTTCCTTAAAGTTTCATAATTAGGACATTCAAGTAAAAAATGATATTCATCTTCTATACAGTGATTACTACAAAATTGACATAATCTACTGCTTCTACCAATTTTCTGATATCTTCCTGCTTCTATACTTAAGTTATGGGAAGAAAGCCTTATTCTTGTAATATTTTTCTTCAATATAGAATAAATAGGTTTTGTCAAATATACATGGATTTTTGAAAAATTGTCACACACAATGTGTTTGTACAAAAAACATTTTGTTGAATTTTCGAAAAAAGCATTACAATCTTGAAGGTAATTATCCAACAGTCTTTCCTTGTACAAAGATATAAACTGTGTTGTATTAATAGAATCTTGCTTAAACCAAAAATTTCCAAGTCCCATTCTAAACAATTCATCTTTAACATCCCTTGCCCAATTAATTTTAGAATGTAATTTACTTTCTGCATTGTGCAATAGATATTCATAGGAAGATTTCAATATACAATTATTTGTATGAAGCAATTTACACCAGTATTTCATTATTCTGATTTTTCTCGATATGATTAGTGGATATCGACCCAATTCACGATAAACCATGTAACTACATGTAGATCTTTTAACTCCTAGCAAATTTTTACAGAACATAAGATGTATGCGCTCTATTTCAGGTGATTTGTGGAAACCCCAAATTTCACAACCATAATTCAAAACACTTAATATATATGTATCAAACAATTGACAATGTGTTTCTGCATTAAATTCAAACATTTGAATATTTCGATTTAGTCCAAAAAGTGCCTTTCGTCCCTGGTCTGCCAGCTTTTTCTGGGTGGAAGCAAATTTACCATTATAAAACAATGTAAGGCCTAGATAATTAAAAGAATCGACGCACTCGAGGATTTCACCATTGTAAGTCCACGACGAATTTACTGTTCCACTGTTTCGGAATACCATTATCTTTGTTTTTGATGCATTTACGGTCAGGTCCCATGTAGAAACATAACGATACAGAGAATCGAGCATTGCTTGCAACTCCTCGGGTGAACTGGCAAATATTACTGTATCATCAGCAAACATTAAAATGAATAGATTAAGCTCTCGCAATTCCACTGATGGAGAATTTTCACTTATAAAATGATTTTCAAGGTCGTCCACATACACGTTGAATAGGATTGGTGATAGAACTTCTCCTTGCATTAAACCATTTTTAACACTAAATATATCCGATACTTGGCCGGCATGTTTCACACAGGCTCGAACATCAGAATATAATGATTGGATGATCCTAATGAGTTTTCCAGTAATCCCTAATTTGATGAGCTTGTGCCATAATTTATCCCGGTTAATGGTATCGAAAGCTTTTTTGTAATCAATGAAGCAACAGTAAAGACGTTGTTTTTTATTTAATTTTTGAGCGATCAAACTTTGTAGGGAAAATATGGCATCTACAGTAGAGCGTCCAGATTGAAAACCGAATTGTGCATCTGTAATAATTGACTCCTCGGAGTTCCAGGAAGCGATCCTTTCATTTAAAATAGAAGTAAACAATTTTCCAAGGCTACTAGTAATACTTATGCCTCTGTAGTTCCCTGGATCAGATATACTGCCCTTTTTATGGATAGGTATTATAACTGCTTGTGACCACAATTTTGGAATTTCGTAACTACTGTGTGAAGACCACGGACGTGTTTTTCTTTCTAAGACTATCTTTCTCTCCTTTTTTAATAATAATTTTAGGTATTTCATTTCATATTTATTTGCAGAATTTACAAAGGCTCAAGCTAGCACACGAGCAGTAAAAACTTTACGTTTTACGGGTAGTTGTTTTAAATCAGAATCTGAAATGTTCCATATTCAACTTTTTAAACATCAATTTATAGAATTTATAATTATTATTTTAAAAAAATTAATCCCTCGAAAGTCCCAAATATTCCCGTTACATATTATTGTACATGTACTATCAAAATTGTTAATTTGTCTACAATGATATGGATACGTCTGAATTTATGTTTACTGTGTATACACAGACTACAAATCTCAATGAAACTCAATTATCGATGTAGATACCCGACCGGTGCGTAATATTATGTGGTGTTACATAATTAGGCACATGACACACTGTTAATGATACTGTAAATAAATACTAAATATTATTTAATTTGCAAATATAAAATTTTTCAGGTTACTTGTACGTTGTAAAAGTATTTAAAAGACATTCCAGATTTTTTTTAAAAAAAAAATGACAACGTTAACAGGTCAACTTAAATTTCAAATTTCCACCTAACCATATTAAATAGATAAAGCTATGATGAAATTTAAAATGTTTTTAAAGACATTATTTGAAACGATATCAAATGAAATCATGGTGTTTATACCATTTAATGCTTTTTAAAGTATGGCATTTTTTTTAAATCTAGGGAAAATGTTCTCGCAACTTTGTAAAATATGTTTATTTACAATGTTTAGTTTAAAATATATTTATTCATAGAAATGGATTGAACAGCAGGCATAACTGCCTATGATCGTTGACAATGTTTTGGAAACATTTTTTGATAAAAAAAAAAAATATTTGAAACCGTTTGGGAAAAAATAGACAAAATCAAGTTCAAAACATATTGAAAACCTTTTATATTTTGTTGAACTTTTGATGATGGGAAAATCATTACTATTTTATAAATATTGTTTGATTCTAAATTATTTCATTTACCAATAAAGAAAACGATATTTTTTCCATATTTTTAGAATTTTATTTTCTTTAAATAATTTCAAAAGAAACCATACAATCTTTTTAGTTGCCAATTACCGGCGGTGTTTTTATACATGTACGTAACACCAACACCTGACCTCAGTTGTTGTTTTAACAATTTACTGACATATTTTTTAAAGATATAAAACGGTAGCTGGAAATCACTTGAATATTTTTAAAATATATATCATCAACCTGAGAAGCTTAAAGTTTGCCCCCCCCCCCCCCTTACCACACACTCAAGAAAAAATAACTAAAAAAAAAAAAATTTGATAATATTTTTAGAAATAAAAATGAATTTTGTAAAGCTTTATTCTTATTCGTCTGTTATGGAAAAAAAAAACACATCAAAGTATATCTTTATGACAATTTTTATTATAAATATTAAAATTCGGATTTAGCTTCAAATATCACGTATATGTGTACTTAGAATAATATGCTCTATCACCATAATAAAAGAATATTTGTTGAGATCCCGAAAAAAATTAACACAAGTCCCGAATCGTCTTTACCCAAGTCCCGAACCGTCTTGTCGCGAGTCCCGAAACGTCGTATTTGTCAGGTCCCGAAACGTCGTGGTCCCGAAACATCTTGCACCCGGCCGATTCGTACCTCATCTTTGCAATCTCTCACCAGAGGGCGTTTTACGCTCATCGCTCCAACACGGAGCGCGCCTTCTGGTGAGAGATTGCTCATCTTTTATGTAGTTCACGGAATCAGCCGAGGTTTGCCGAATGAGAAAAACGTGACGCAGTACACAAACGTTGTTATTGTCAACCATTACTGGCTTTGTTGCAAGTTCAGGCGAAGCGGCATTAAAAATAATTTTTAAAATGTCGCAACAGGGAGCTGCCTTACAAAGTTACAACAATGAACTTGTGAAATGTAAGTGTTTAAAACCATATTTACAATAATGTATACTTTAAGTGACTTGGATTTGTTTTCATTTCTTTCAAATGTCATTTTTAGAAAATGTTTTTATATATAGGTCAAACAAGTTAAACCTAAATTTGTTTTATGTTATAAGAACTTTTATTCAAAAAATGTCTTCAAATCCTGGTTTTGCCACATATCATTCGTACTCTGTATGGGATTTTTCATGAAAGGCAGTAGGTACTAAAATACAAAGACATACAACTGTTCTAAAGTGAAACTAGGCATACATGTAGCATTCATTTCTAAGAAAAAAAAAAGAAACCACTTCGATGACGATGTAAAAGTCATAGGAACAACTAATTAGAATAATCATTGTCACAGGACAAGCCCCAAAACTAGGCAGCTGGTGGGTTCATAGAACATTTATCTTCTTGATTTTTAACATTTAAATTATAGAACTTTCTATCTAGGAAACAACTAAATGACTAGCAAATGAAATTGATCTCTCTTTTATGGTGGCATATTTCTGCCCCCTACATGGAAGATGAATTATGTTAACATTCAGCTTAATTATGTAGACATGCAACATATTTATGTCAACATGCAAATTAATTTTCTTGACATGCTAGTAACAACTCCTTTGAGAGAATCTGATTTTAATATAGGTAAATTTACTTACTAAAGCCCATTTCTGATGTTGAAGATACAAGATGCAACATAATAAGTTGCATGCCTATGTAATTAACACACAAGTTGACATAAATATCTTGCTTGTTGACATTAGTGAGTTGCATGTTGACATAAATAGGTCGCATGTTAACAAAAATAAGTTGTAGTCTACTTAATAATGTTGCATCTTCAATCTACGATTTCAGTTACGGGCGTCAGTACAAGATATTACCTACCATTATATTAAAATCAAATTCTCCTATACGAGTTGTAACTTGCATGTCAACATAATAATCTTGCATGTGGACATAATTATCTTGTATGTTGATGTAATTTATCTTGCATGTGACAAAATTTATCTTGCATGTAGGGGGCAGAAATATGCCACCAAACTCTTTCTTTCAACCAATCCGAAGGATATAGTCTAGTCAGAGCACTTTAGTTGTAAATCATTTAAATGACGAAATTTCAGTAACCACCTCTGACCTGTTTTGATAGGTATCAATGATCTCTGTAGCAAGAGGGATGAACTGCACAAACAAATACTTCAAGAAGAGGAAGAAAAACAGAAGCTACAAAATGACATTAGAATACTCACTGAAAGACTAGCTAAAGTGAATGAAAGTTTAAGCAAGAAGATGGCTTCTCGAAATGATTTCGATAAAACCATTGCAGAAACAGAGTCAGCATATATGAAGGTAATTTGTTGTTGATCTACACATGTGCGATATACATAATTTTGTGAGCCCACACCAAATTTTACTTGCAATTTGAGAGTGGGCAAGAGTTAAGTTTAAACCCTGTAATATTGAAAATCAAAATTTAAGAAAGTTCTTTGTCTAAAAAAAAGTTTAGTTTAGCTCCCCCTTCTCCTCCATGTAATAATATTTTTGAGACCCCCTTTTTACCCTTGTCAAAGATTGATTAGATTATTTGTCAAATATTCCCACCCTAGATGATATTTCAGAATTTCTGGAAAGCCACATTACTCCAGCGTTTTTCTTATTTTTAGGTTTACAAACCCGCCACTTAAGTTTTTGAATTTCCAGAAAAAAATAAAAATTGAGAAAATTAAATTTTTTTCTTTCCGATGTCAAATTTGAGTCCGGATCGAGATTTAAAATTTACAAACTCGTACTTCCAGTTTTAAGATGGACGTGTAAATAAAAGGTAGATCTGCAAAGTCCATAGCTTGGTTTGGTTTAAAATTTACCAATAGGAGTGCCATACAAAACGTTTTACACGTTCAGAGGACAAATTAAATGCAGACGACTTTGTTGCACAATGACATGTTGGTGAGATAAGGCCATTCCAAGTTTTTTCTCTGTTTAGCGTCCACCCATCTTTCTAAAACCTACCTACCTATTCGCAAAAAACACACAAGCCAAAACATAAAACACAGGCTTAAAAGTCATACAAATGACACCCTTCAAATGATTTGATCTAACTAAACTGCTTTAATAGAAGAAATATTTATTCTTAAGCAAAAACAAGGGATTAAATGCTTAAAATACACTCAATATAACTTACTGTATAGAATTATTTGGAGAAATTGACAAAATTAAAAAATTTTGACTATATTAATCAATTTCAGGACACCTGATGTTGTGTGTTTTTTTTCAATATGGGGTGTCAAAAACCAAGGCGCACGCGGACGCTAAACATAGAAAAAACTTGGAATGGCCTAATTATGTATTCCTATTTCAAAAGTATCTGTTTGTAAATTATTTCCCTCCCACAGATTTAAAACTGCCATTGATAACTATTGCCAAAGACATTGTTTAGGTCTCTGTTATAGCTTACAAACTAAGCACAGCAGTGTTTCTGCTAATTTTTAAAACCAAGGGTCATTATGACCCTTTGATATAAACTTTTGGGGGTCAAAATGATTTTTTGAGGGTCAAAATATATTCTGGTTTGATTTGGGTTCTAACTTAGCTCTGCCTTATAAGATCATATATTTGATGTTCAAAAATAAAAAAAATGAAAGTAAAATATAATTGATACATGTATACTTCTGTTATTTTACCGGTACACAGTTACATTTTACCGATTACACCATTAGGGTTTCGTGAATATCTCAATCAAAAGATAACAATTGAAAGTTGTTGATTGCTTTACAAGACTGTTTATTAAAGATTTGAACTTTCCTCACCTTTTTATTACCATAATTAGCCTTTTTGACAAAGCCAAGCTGTTATAAATATGCCGATGTAAGACTGAACATGCTGAAGCGCCATTTTTACTTGCACTTCCGGTTTTGTTAAGAATTAGATAGGTCTTACAAAAGAATATTTAATAGATTGTTGACGTGGAAATGCCGATTTCAATTACTGCCACTTTGAAATTAAACTAAAAGCAATGATTAATTCCTAGAAAGTTGTCCAGAATGTAAATTAAACATATAAAATATCTTTTTCTATGAAAACATCAATATTGAACTAGATTTTTAAAAACTTGTTGTCATATTTTCTTCTGCGTCATGATGACCCTCTAGGTGACGTTTTTGGGGGTAAAAGGTAATTTTTATGCGTAAAATACGCAGAAATATGCGTTAACGGAAACACTGCACAGTTTTTAGCTCACCTCAACGAAGTTGGGGGAGCTTATGTAATACCCTCGGCGTCGGCGTCGGTGTCGGCGTTGGCGTCCCAGGTTAAGTTTTTTGGAGCAGTTTTCTTTTTAAGTACTTCTATGTCCTATATTGATTAGACATGCATGGAAGATGCTTCTAATGTGTTTCATTGTACCAGTCAAAGTTTCAGATGCTGCAATTTCAGCAAAGTAATGGTCAGGTTAATGTTTTTGGAGCAGGTTAACATTTTTGGTGCAGTTTTTGGTGCAGATTTCATTTCCAAGTAACTATAAGCCCTATGTTGACCAAACTTGCATGGTTGATACATCTAAGGATGCATACTACTGGGCTTGCTTCGGATGCTGAATCTGACCTACATTTTCCGGTTGAGTGAACAGGTTAAAGTTTTTGGTGCAGGTTTCATTTCCAAGTAACTATAAGCCCTATGTTGACCAAACTTGCATGGATGATACATCAAAGGATGCATACTATCAGGCTTGCTTCGGATGCTGAATCTGACCTACATTTTCCGGTTGAGTGAACAGGTTAAATTTGTTGGTGCAGGTTTCATTTCCAAGTAACTATAAGCCCTATGTTGACCAAACTTGCATGGATGATACATCTAAGGATGCATACTACCGGGCTTGCTTCGGATGCTGAATCTGACCTACATTTTCCAGTTGAGTGAACAGGTTAAAGTTTTTGGTGCAGGTTTCATTTCCAAGTAACTATAAGCCCTATGTTGACCAAACTTGCATGGATGATACATCTAAGGATGCATACTACCGGGCTTGCTTCAGATGCTGAATCTGACCTACATTTTCCGGTTGAGTGAACAGGTTAAATTTTTTTGGGCAGGTTTTATTTCCAAGTTACTATAAGCCCTATGTTGACCAAACTTGCATGGATGATACGTCTAAGGATGCATACTACCGGGCTTGCTTTAGATGCTGAATCTGACCTACATTTTCTGGTTGAGTGAACAGGTTAAAGTTTTTGGTGCAGGTTTCATTTCCAAGTAACTATAAGCCCTATGTTGACCAAACTTGCATGGATGATACATCTAAGGATGCATACTACCAAGCTTGCTTCGGATGCTGAATCTGATCTACAATGTACATTTTCCGGTTGAGTGAGCAGGTGAAAGTTTTTGATGCATAATTCATTTCCAAGTACCTATGACTTCTTTAATGACCAAACTTGCACGGATGATACATCAAAGGATGCATACTACCGGGCTTGCTTTAGATGCTGAATCTGACCTACATTTTCTGGTTGAGTGAACAGGTTAAAGTTTTTGGTGCAGGTTTCATTTCCAAGTAACTATAAGCCCTATGTTGACCAAACTTGCATGGATGATACATCTAAGGATGCATACTACCAGGCTTGCTTCGGATGCTGAATCTGACCTACATTTTGTGGATGAGTGAAAATGTTAGTTTGTGATGAATGTATCATTTCCAATTAACTATGAGCCCTATAATGAGCAGACTTCTTTAATGACCAAACTTGCACGGATGATACATCAAAGGATGCATACTACCGGGCTTGCTTTAGATGCTGAATCTGACCTACATTTTCTGGTTGAGTGAACAGGTTAAAGTTTTTGGTGCAGGTTTCATTTCCAAGTAACTATAAGCCCTATGTTGACCAAACTTGCATGGATGATACATCTAAGGATGCATACTACCAGGCTTGCTTCGGATGCTGAATCTGACCTACATTTTGTGGATGAGTGAAAATGTTAGTTTGTGATGAATGTATCATTTCCAATTAACTATGAGCCCTATATTGAGCAAACTTGCATGGACAATACATCTTAGGATGCACACTAATGGACTTACTTTGGATGCTGAATTCGACATACATTTTTTCAGATAATAGACCAGGTAAAAGTTATGGGTGCAGGTCAATTACCAAAAAACTTGAAGGCTTATATAACATTGTATAAACCAAACCAAACTTGCACAAATGTTGCATCAGGAGATGAAAACTCTCAAATTTGCTTCAGATGCTTAATTTTAATTACATTTTCATGAACAACTAGTTTAAATTTTTTATGTACCGGTAGGTCTATTTCAATGTATTCGATCAAAATTGCTTAAATATTTTCATTTCTGGAATGTACACTTTTTGTTGGTTAATTGTGTGACTTTGCCTTACTTAAAGACAACATTCGTTGAGGTGAGCTCTGTAATCTCTGATTACCTATGTTTAAGAAAAGGATTGCTTATGCATCTGATGCAACGAATAAAACTATTGGAGAAGACAAGAAGATAATTCCATTTGAGGAAGAAATAAACAATAGCCTAAAGAAATGAAATATTTAACATGTTTAAACTTTTGGCTTCAACTGGCAGAAGATGAAATAAACAAGGGATCTACATTTCTATTTGTAACCATTTTGTTTCCAGTGGTAAGGAGGCTGTTAGGAGAGCATAAAAAAGAAGCGAAAATGAATGTACAAAAGTCAATAATTTATCCAAAAAAAATTTTTTTTTTATTTCCTCCTCCTATGGGACTTTTTTATTCTGATGTTCGTAAACCTAAAAAGAAAAAAATGCTGGCCTGAAAAAGAAATCATCCGACAACATTTTGTGCAACAATTATGAATGTAGAGTTATCTTTCTTTACATAAATGTACAGGGTATCCCAACTTTGTATGTCTTAATTTTTGCACATGTATTAAATACATGTATAACATGTATTAACATTAAACAAAACAACAACTGTATGCTATACATGTAGTATGAATTTCAGTAACATATGTCATATTAACACATAATCATGCATAATTATAATTAAACTATATTGACATAGTTTTTATTACACCATCAAAAGTTAAGTTATTTTTTTAGTGATAAAACACATTTAATATTGAAATTGTTAATTAACTGTGTAACAGGAAGGGAAATAATATATGAGTGGACAGTGAATTGAACCCGGGCCCCTGAAAACCCGGTCAGGTGCTCAACCAACTGAGCTATAAAACATTACAACTGAACTGTCATTTGAAAACTGAAGATGACCAATCATGTACTAGGTAGTAGAATTTTAAAAACAGGCATCTTTTCACATGTTCAGGGAAAGAAAAATGTTCAAATTGTGTTGAAATCTAAGCACTATCAGGACTTTAGGGAGAATTTAAAAAGTCTGTTAAAAAAACAGCAGAAATTTAGAACACATTTTAAAGTTAGGTTACTAGTAAATTGAAAACTGCCTCAATGCAGTGTTTAAAACTCGCTTTAAAATTAGCTAGACATGCAGGGCTAACTGCTAGTGAAAGTTTTCAGCCCTGCTGAAAATGTACAGCCTGAAAAAAATAATTGCTTTTATAAGTTCATTTTAATAGCAAAAATGTAAAAGAGGTCAGCTCACCATATATTCGATCCCAGACCTATAGGCTGATGAATTCTACCCGTTACCTTGCTACACTTGGCATTTAGTAAATATTAGTTGATAAATTTGAGAGAGTTTTATCAAAGATCTGAGTTTTAATTTCTGGAAAAATTTAACATGTCTAGTTGGGCATCAATACATGCAAATCTTTTCGCCCGTGACAAAATTTGGGCAGTTGGGTGCACAATTCAAACACTGCTCAAATGTCCATTTCTTAAAAATGTTTGTTGAGTTTTCATTAAATTGAAGCTTATGAAAAAAAGTGAGAAGATTTAATCTTTGATTTTTATGATTCAGGTAAATCAATCATAATATAAGCAAGATTACAAGAACAATACTTACATGTATACATCCTTATAGTTACATGAAGTCCTTGCTAAAAAAAGAAGTTCAGATAATTTTTAATCATAATCAAATTATGCTTTGAGCACATTATTTTGTACCAATTTTATTCAATTTAAGGTAGTACAAAACACCAGTGAGTTCTATTTTTACTATTTTCTTAAAAGGTATAGGAGAAAAAAAGAATTATATCACTATATTGTCAACATTGAATGACCTATGTAAAAAAAAGAATAAGGTGGACATGGCATGTTTTCATCATACTTTGTTACTAAATGCAGTGTAATTTCTGTTCCATAAATAGCCGGGGCTGATATTTGGAGACATATACATATAAGGAGTCTCCATTCTTAATGTACTGTACTATAAAGTTCAAATTCATATCATATCGAGGTCAAAGATCAAATATTGTGACATATCATCTACGGAACCTTTAAATTTTTTTGCAATTAAAATTTTTTTTTTATTGCCAAAATATGTTGATTTTTTGTAAAAATTGAATTATACATTTATATGCGTAGCATATTTACTTGAGAATTCTCAATGCAGACACTATGTTTGTTCTTTTTTTATTTTATTTATATAATATTTTCCACAAATTTACTAGTATCAACATAGTTTACTGAAGGTAAGTAAGAAAAAGGTTGTCGTTATAAATAGCACCACACAAGTTTTCAATAAATCAATTGAAAATTTAAAAAAAAAAAGTTCATTCTTAAGTTGAATACCTGATTTCACAATTTTCTTACAGGTCTCTGATAGACCATATTTCAAGCTTTGTGGGCAAAAAATGTGACTGTGGTTGAATTTCTTACATATTATACATAAAGATAGATTTTGTATCCTAGAACAAAGTATCAAAGTTAATTAGTTTGGGAAAAATTGAATTTGGGGAAAAATTTGGCCTATCTGTTTTGTACTACCTTAATAACAAAAGCATTCTAATATTTCCATTGAACAATATGTTGAGTATTATAAGAACAAGATTTCAACAAAATAATGAAAACAAGGGCACCACAAAGTGGAGCCGCCATGCAAAGAAAACATGTATATCTATAGATCAAGACAGCTAGCATTTGACATTGGTCCCGATACAAAATACATCACTTCCATTTTGCAAGGACATAACCTACAAACAGTATCACTATAATAAGCTTTCTTAGCATGTTTATGCATTAAGCACTATTTTAACTTGAGAAATACTGTTAAACTGTTTGGTTTGATTGCCTAGCTCTCAAATTCATGCAGTCATCATGAATTAAGACTTTTTTTTTATTCATAGATTTTTTTGTGCTTTCACATGTATTGACTGTACAATACATCAGTTTGCATTCAATATATTATATACTTTCATTTCTCTTTTGAATAAATACAGAGATAGAAGAGATATCAGAAATGGGTAAAATCTGATTTTAAGAAAGTGGTTGGATATGTTTCAGCTAACTTTTTTTTTCAAAATGTTAATGTTCAAGATACCAGTGTTCGATGGTACAATAACATGTACCTTTAATAATGTATATTGGAATTTTTTGTTTTCTTTAGAATATGTACATCATAACTCATGTCATATATGACCGATTAGCTAGGGGGTGTCCACACTGTCAGTCACAGTGGCTCGAACCTACAACTCGCAGATTTAAAATTCAATGCTCTACCGACTGAGCTAAAGCGTTAACCCGCTAGCTAGTGGTAGTAGGAGGGTGGCCTCACTATATACAACGCATAGCCAATTCTAACTTTATTACAGATAGAAACAAATTTCATTAATATTCAGCTATACTTATAATAACTTATATATTAACTTAAAGGTTTTTTGGTTTTAATCTTTTTTCTGCAATTGGAAGAAAAAACATGTTATTGTACGTGTATTTATTTTTAGATCCTTGAAAGTTCCCAGACCTTGCTGAATGTACTTAAAAAAGAATCCCAGACTCTGAGAGAGAAGTCAGTCCCTGGTCAGAGGGTGGCACAGTCGTAAACGGTCCCAACAGAGTGCTTCAGTTGTATGTCAGAAAGACAGGAATAAAGGTGCCCTTATAAGTATTGCTGTGATACTGTCAAAATTTTGGATAAGAATAAGTAAAAATGTTTCAGTGTTTTCATGAAGTTTGGAGGTTGAACAGAACTTTTTGAGAGAAATTAAAAAAAAAAATTGTGCTAGGCAGCATCTGTGCAGAATCTAAATGTATTGCAAGTACCAGTGTAAAGTACACAAAAACTGAAGAATGAGAAATGATATTTTGCACTTGCACCTGTGTGAATGATTTAGAATGTTAATGTTTTATTAAATTTTGAATATCACTGATTAAGTGCATTAGTACTTGGCTGGTTCTAGTATGTATTTATGGAGTAAGGGGAAATCTCAACTTCTTAAGCAGTTAAATTGGTTTCTATTTATAAATACTTTGTTTGTCTTAATTTGAACATTTTTTTTCTGGGACAGAATTACAGGTAACCCTTGTAGAAGATGAATTAGATCTACTAAGTATCTAACTGTATCTTTATGTTTATACAATATAATTTTCTCAAAATTCAAAAAATATTTTTTATTAGACTAAATATGTAAAAGGTTCATAGGGTAGATTTCATCATTGATGACATATATGATTCTAAATGCATTTGACCCATCTATTATTTGTGGAAAAATCTGGCTTAATTTACTTTTTGTCAACACTGTTTAAAGGTATTTGAACTTTTTTTTAAGCTAACTGTAAATATTCTAGACATACTTAGAAAAGACTGTGCATTTATGTACATTTTTTCCTCAGATGATATATTCATAGTATTTTTATTTTTTTTTACATTTCAAAATATTTTTATGAATGTTTAAGTTTTGGAAAGAAGGCATGAATGCCTTTAATTCATGAACTCTGCTAATTGAAGATTTCTAATTATAGAAATACATTGTGTGTTTTTATTTTACACTTTTGTTTGTAAATAAAAATTTCAAATATACATACTATAAGTATTTTTTTTAAAGGGGAACTTGAAAACATACTTTGAAATTTGTAGAAATATCAAAATGTATGCCCTCTATCCTGCTTAAGCCATATTTTTTCTTCAAGTTTTTCAGTTGGACTCAATTTTTTCTTTCACTACATATTCTTACAATATGAATGCCATGATTTATTCTAATACCTGAACAAGAGGCCCGCAGGCCTCAGTGTTTTCAATAAGATTTTCAATAGAAGGAAAAATAGATGGAATAGCAGGAAACCAGTCTCGGCGAGGGGTCTGGGGGCCGCCTTAAGCGGGTCCAGAGCCCTGGTAGGGGGCCCAGGGGGGCGAGGCATTTTTGACTCATTTTCTTACCTCTCAGACTATTAAAAAAGTACCATTTTTTCACATTCCTGTCACTATCAATTAACAAATATTACCTTAAAAAGCCAATTAGAAACATTTTTTACCTTTTCACAGATTTGTTTGACAGTTTTTTGACAGACTGAGTTTTTTTTCTTCTGAAAACTAAGTGTCTATACAAACATATAGACAACTTAAAAGTATGAAATTCTAGTACAGACAATTGTCTGTGGTAGAATATTATACTACATATGTGTGTTTCACATAAATTAGTCAGGTCTTTTATTCAAAATTCAAAAAAAAAGTTTTTTAGTTAAAAATGTAATTTTTTTAACACTTGGTGATGTACAGTACCCTCCAAAAATTTGAAATATTCTGCAATCTTAGACGTTTCATAAAATAATTTTAAAACTTATTTACTTTGGCATTTTCATTATGTACAGATTGTCAGAACAAAATAATTAAGAAAATGGAATTTGATACAAAATACTAGTACATTAAAACCTTCCCAAATGTGAAAATGATACTGTTCCTGTATTTCAATATCTTTACACGAATAAATGAGAATAAAATTTTACATTTTCAGTTTGAGGAAATTCTGTAAGAATTTCTACATGTACGTCTGAGTCACGATCAAAATATTAAGACTTTTATTCGTAATTATTACGTCTGAGATTTTCAGTTTGAGGAAATTCTGTAAGACTTCAACATTTTTCGTAAGGGCTTAAAATTATATTTATTTGCCGTTTTTTCACCGGGGAACCCCTCACTTAATATTAAGGCTGCCGCACAATCAATTTTCAATCGAAAATTATAAAACACAAACAAATCTTTTTGGAAGGGACCATTCTTTATGCCTCTTAATGTATGTGATCTCAAACGCATGTGTTACAGCAGCAGCAGCACGTTTCTCCACGACTTCGCTCAAATATTCGTTGTCCGCGCCGCCATTACATGATCTAATCAAACTTCCTTGAAAAAAGAGCGCACTCAAGGGAAGCTACTCTAAATCATGGAAATAGTTGCGATAAAATCTATGGATTTCACGTATCAGCCCCGGCAAAATCTTATTCTTAATGACGGAAATTTCATAGCCGGCAAAATTTCTCGTACAGGCGGTTAATTTTGCCGGTTGCCGGCTCTTATTGAAAACACTGGGCCTTTAAAGTCACCTGAATTTCAAGAGTTTCTCAGGATATATTACCACAGACTGAAATCAGAACTGGAGGCTTTGTCTCATATGTGACAAAAGTTAAGTTTGGCTAGGACTCTTTTAACAATTAGTACATTGCTTATGCAATTTGTCTCCTAGAAGTTAACATGTTAAAAAAAAGGTACATGTGCACTATTATCTATACTTTTATTATGACCACCTTAACCCAAACCCTAGTGCTAGAACCATATAACCTAAGAATTAAAATAGCAAGCTATTTGTTGAGTAATAGTGATACAAACAGTTTGTCAGCTAGATGCCCTTGAGTATAAAGATTTCTAAAAGTGTTTTTAGATAAATGACTACTTGGCCTGTGCTTGATCCAGGAAATATGAATTTTACAATTTTGTTAAAGGTCACAGTGCCCATTTATATTATGAATCAAACATGTAATTTAGATGTATCATTTGATTGAGATAAAACCCAAAAAGATTTTCATACAAAATAAAGAAATATTCCAAGGTTACTATATAAATCAAACAGTGAATTATGATACATTCAATGCAGTGGTCTGCCATTGAATTTTTAAAAAGAATTCTCTGAAAATTTAAGGAAAATAGAGGGACTTAAGGTTAGCTATGACCTATTTATTTATAGTTATTTATTTGACTTTGAAGGTTTCTGCCCTCTGAATGAAAAGAAACTCAATTTCATTTAATCTCTAATAAATTGGGCATCCCATGATTGGCAACTGTAGTTTTTTTATTCTTTGAATTTCCAAAGACAAGAAAATGACCCTGACCTGATTCCTTAAATCAAATGGTCAAATTTAATTAGATTATATCTAACTGATACCACCGCTTAGTGATATTGATTTATAGAAACTGTGAAAAGTCTTAAGAATTTTTAAATTTAACAAACATGAGAAGAATCTCTCCTTAAGTATTGTGTAAAATAATATTTCACTTTTAAACTGCAGTAAGATTATAGTCAAAAGTATTATTTAAAATTTGTGTATTGAGTGCGACTCTTTAGTTCCCATATGATAACACTTTAGAAAGGATGAACTTATTTAAAAATTTAATACTTCACTCTAAGTGGCAATTCATCTGAGAGACCTGTTTCAATTCACAGATTCTAAGGCAACCTACCATATCTCCCATTCCAACATGTTAAAGAAATTGAATTCTTTTCCCTTCAAATCAAGAAGTGTCTAAAGAATTTAACGATATATAGGCATACATTAACAGTACTTTTAATACTTTAAACTATAAGTATACTGATGTTCTATTTGAAGTACAAATGATATAAGAGTACATGAACATTGATTTCTAAAGTATAAGAGTCACTTGTACGGTTTCTAAACTATAAGAGTCACTTGTACGGTTATTATACATGTATTTTTGAAAACAAAAACGTGCTTATAAATGATTAAATTTCAAAAAATACTTCATTGATGATTTTTTTTTTACTTTGGTGAATTTGTACAACAAATACAGAAAAAAAACTTGGTAGCTAAGCTGATGTGTATTCTGAAATGTACATGCCAAAAGCATGATTATCCCTGCGTTCATTGTACCAAAGTAGGAGATACATTTTTAGCTCACCTGAGATGAAAGCTCCAGGAAGCTTTTCTGGCCGGGGGGCCATAACACTTAGATGAGCTCACTTTTGATCTCAGTCTCACTTCACTATTAAATCCTTTGATCACCTATTGTCCTTCTATCTAGCTGCCTAGCTGTCCGTCCATCTGTCTGCATGTAAACTTTTCACTTTCAACTTTCAACAACTACATGTGTATACTGGGCAAATTAAAAAAAAAGTTTGTACAAAGAATCCTTGTGAAAAGGTAGTTTACATATAAAGCAATATGAGCTGCATTTTTGAAAATTTTATTTATCTATTAAAATGTGTTATTAATTATTATGAAAAATATTTATGTAATTTTAACCTTTATGGTCAATTAGACTAAAATTAAGTACTAAACCATTTCAGAACTGAGAAGAAAAGACTTTTGTACAATCAAATATGTAGGATTATTAAAGAAGTCAATATTGTACAGGACGACAATAATGTAATCTTGCTTCAAACAAAGCTTATAAATAGTTCTTCTACTGCAAATATGAGCAACAAAAGTTTATAAATATTCTTTTTCTCTGTCCTTGAAATAGTTAAGTACAATTCTTCAATTCTGATCAAAATTGCTCATATTGCTTTAAATTGTTAAAATGAAGGGTGAAATCCTCTTACAAGAGGAGAAAATCAAGAAAAGCCAAAAATGGGTGGGATATTTAAACAATTTTCTCAAGAACCACTAGGCCAGAAAAGTTGGACGCAATCCGGAATAGCGTAAATTCTATTGTTGGAATTGGAGGAAGGTCTCTCTTCAATATAAAGTGTAGTGGGGTATTATTTTGTGGAGCGATTATTTGGGGGTTTTGGCAATTTTTTCCTGTTGTACACATGATGAATAAGTGCAATAAATAAAATATATTTATTATTCCAGACAGAAATGTTATTAAACAGATCATATAATAGTTATTAACAAGGTGTGATATAATAGTATAGTATTCAGCATATTCCTAGTACATGTATATACTAATCAATTTACACATGGTTCATAAGTTGAGATAATTGCTAACATGTGAAATTTAAATAGTCATATTTAGATGGGGGTTCTATCCACAAGTCATTCTTCCACGGTTTTTTTTGTATGAACTATACACTCATTTTGTGCACATACACTCACATGTATATGAAAAAAAAAACTTTCTTCAAATCCAATAAATATTTTTTAGCGTTTCTTGAAAGTATAATTTTATTGGAATAAAGATCTGAAAGATTTCAGTCACTGATTTCGAATATAAGATCATGCACAGCAAGTTCGAAGTAGATTCCTTCTTATAAAGTAGAAGTCACTCAACAAAGAATTTTCTTTTCTTCATTTGATATAACAGGTTTTGGAAGCAAGTTTACATCTATGTCCAAATCTATTCTCACAGAATTATGTCTCAGATCCGCTCCCTTATCTACAAATGTAAATTGAGACACTGAAGTATAATGTTACAAGATCAACTAAATAATGAATACTTGTATTATTAAAAACACCTGCACGCATGTTGATTAATACTAAAATTTCGAAATTTATCATTTGATGAAATCACTTCTCTGTTAATGTCCTTTACAAAAAAATCTATTTCTTTTGCTAAATTTGGCATAAAAATATTTCTTTGGTAAAGGACACTACCACTCCATCCAAAGTTGACCCTCCCCAGTACCCTTTACTTACCATTCAAATTAATCCTCCTAAATCGTTCGTATTCTTTGTTGAGTTTTGCTGCCAGATGAGGCTGAGTCCCGTTTCTGAGTATCGCGTCCACTAACGCTTTGAAGCAGGTCGGTCCTTTGAGGAGGAGTATGTCTAGAAATCTCTCTGCCCTCTGTCTGCGAGTTCTCAAAGACTTTATTTCCTCTTCGTCCTCAGCAGTCATCACGTGCTTGGACCGTAAATAGGCGTAGTAATTCTGAGGTTCCATATATTTACACAAATAAAATCTCTGATCTTCCAGAATTTGTAGAATCTGAAAAATGTTATTTTTGAATGTTTTTGTTCTTAAATCTTTCTAAAAAGTGTCAGAATTACAAGAAATGTAAAATCTTAAATTATTTGAAGCTTTCACTCAATTGAATTATTTTCAAAAGTGGAATTAAGACTGATGCCAAGTATATTTTTTTCTTTCTAATTGTATATTTTCTCCTGACTAAGCTAGACCTATAAAGCTAAATGCCTTAGCGTCAATAGAGGTCTGGCTTTATATTCAGCTTGATTTTTCTTTCATAAATAAAATTAACTGAAAAGGAATTTGCACATGGAAGTTTAGTTATAGATTTATTTTTATTCTCATGTGAAGCAGAATTTGTGCAAAATCTTATGCGTGAAAAGAAGAAAACACTTGTTGTGGCCTTCAACTCGACATTTAGATACCGGTATATCGACGTATTGTCAATTAACAATAGTGATGTCCACTCCTACGTCGATACGATATACCCTGGTGATTTTGAGATAAAAGATACCACAGAGTCTGACACATCTGTTTCATACTTGGATATTTTACTTGAAAAAGACGTTAATGGTAATTTAACAACCAAGCTATATGATAAACGTGATGACTTTAACTTTTCTATCGTCAACTTTCCTTACTTATGCAGCAATATACCTTCATCACCTGCATACGGAGTATATATCTCAGTTGATTCGATACGCAAGAGCATGCTCTACGTATGAATCATTTCTAAAACGAGGTAAATTATTGACAAGCAAGTTGATGAAACAAAGAATATCAGCAGTCTCGTTTAAATTTCATCATTTCGTAGTTCTATGGTCGATACAATGACCTTGTCAGCAAATGCAATTTATTATTTAGTCAAATGCTGACTTATGTTTTTCATACTAATCGTTAGTCCATTATTTATACACTGAATTGACGACGGATTTTTCCGTTATTTCCTGGTCATGACAAGGAGCACACGGCGGGTGTGACTGGTCAGCAGGGGATGCTCACTCCTCCATGGCACCTGATCCCACCTCTGATGTTTCGGATGTCCTTCTTTGCTCTGCTCCTATTTTGTATTTGTTTTATTGACTTTGAGATATTGAATACTGTTCGTTTTCTCCATATCCTTCTTACACTAAACAGTATAAGTGCAACCTTTGACGTGACTCTCGATTCAAATCTAAATACTCTGTAGAAAATGACCTAATAACATTAACATACTAGTATAGCGAAGCAGATGTCATGTTTTGCATTTACATAGATAAGAAAATATCCAATAATATACTATGGTATATATATTTTGAAAAAACATGTATAAATGGAAATGGTAACTTTAAAGAATTATTTTTTGCGAAAATGTTCATACCTCCATATCCAACTCCTCGCTGGTGATGCTGTTGCTTTTCATCATATTAGACTATATTTCTCTACCGTTACATCTGCTGGCCCCTCGCCACTCTTTCCTCCCCGACGTTTAATAGTGATTTCCCTATTAGGCTGATCTCCACACTTTTACACTTCCTCTTGTGTAGGACGATTGTTCACATTAAAAGCCTTCGTATAAACAAGACTTGTTCCGGGATTTTTTAACAACGTGATCCTTTGATCTTAGTATAATCTTTTTGTACCATATAACTGTGTACCAATGTAATCTTTCAATCATCGTTTAACGATTGTTTTGTTTATCTGTGCTGATGGCGTCTGGGTTCATAAGATTTTATATTTCTACTTGTATGTTACATTAACCTACTTTAAAAGACATGGAATACAGGTAATGCTTTTTATTCCCCTCTTTTCGGACCATGTTTTAAAATTCATTTTTAAAGATTTATTGAGACTTTCCAAAACCAAAAAGAAACAAAAAAAAATAATAAGCGAACAGATATCAAATCTTAATCAAAAAGAATGTGAATTGAATTAACCTGATAAACGATTTACGAAAATTTCCATTTCTAGCATTTAACAAAAAATATTATTCTGTTTTATATATTTTATAATATAATAATAATTTTAATTTAATGATAAAGCCTTTTGTGTAAGTGTTGAATCAGTTTTTCTTAATTTGCTTTTTCATTCAGTCAAAAATCCAAGCTCCTTTCATATAGAAATGAATTAGTCGTATTGCGCTAGAAACAGCTTCCTCGTTTGAGGGATACTGTTTAAAATCAGAACTGACCACCAATCCCTCATTCAGTCTGGGAATATATATTTTAACTATCGATACTAGAATATAAATATTTTTCCGGTAAGGAAAAAGCGGACCGCGACACTATCACAGGATAACAGGCAGGTCTTTAATGTTAATCTATTTAAGTTTATTGTTGAAATTTAGTCATGTAGGTTACATCGCATGGTTTCTATAACCATTTTAAAGTTTGTTCGTTTATTGGGTTCATCATTCTTAAGATTCGTAAAGCCTAAAACTTTCAGCCATTGTTTAAACAAGAGTAGAAGACATAGGCGTCAGAAGCAAATTGAAAGAGGGAGGGCTAAACCAACAAAAAAAGGTAAACCCCAATTTTCAATACATGCCTATATTATGTATATATTTGCAAAAAAAAGGGGGGGAGGCTAATTTAAGCTCCCCTAGGCCCCCTCCCTCGTTCCGACGCTTATGTAAGAAGACGTATAACTATAACTGCAGCACGAAAAACATAATTATGTGTGCTATGCAGCAACTTTTTTTTCTATCCAGATCGTTTCTCAACAATGATATACATATAGATCTGCTGTCAACCCCCTGATGATATACATATAGATCTGCTGTCAAACCCCTTAGTTCCCATCATTCTTAGTTTCTTGTGTAATTTCCTTTTCTTTCTTTTCGCGTTAGAATTTTGCCTGTAACGAAGTTTATTTTTTTTTTAAATTAGTGGAAAGACACTATAGTAGAGTATTTTAAAACTTGGGGAGGGGGTAATTAGAGTTTATTATTACACAGCATATAATTACTGCACCTCTACTACATGTACCAGACAAATCTACAAATACTCCAACATGATCTCTATATCGAGTTAACCATCATATAAAACTATACACTGATAATTATTTACTAATTGTAGTATATGACCTTAAAGTTTCAAAATTTAGTCGATTCATTAAAAGGTCATGGACACAGTTTAAACTGATTTTTTTAAAACAAATTTTGATGTTTAAATTTCTAAATAAGGCAATAAAATGATCAACAAAAATTTGAACCTTATTGAATTACAAAGGAGATACAGAACTTAAATTTCTTCGTAATGTAAACAAGGTTCGCGCCTTGTTTTTGTTTACATAGAGAAAATAACAAGACGAGATTCAGCAAATAATCAAAAGCTGTCTAATCGTATTAAGAATTAACTTCTTTATCAGAAAAAAAAGAAAGAAACTGTTTTAACGAACATACATCAATATATTTAACCCATAAACAAAAACATTGCACGGGCCTTGTTTACATAACAAAGGTCTTGTATTTCGACAACTAAAATTCAAATTTTTGAAAATCATAAAAGATGCCTAAGTTAAGTATTTGTAAACCTAAAAAAAACATGGAAAAATAAATTTGAACATTTTAGCAGTAATTGTGTCCATATCCCTATAATCACTCAAAATATAGTTTACAAGTTCGCCAAGATATGCCTACATCAAACTCAGTTAACGATAAACACTACATTAAGGTAGGACAAAACACCCGTGGATTCTATTTTAACCCATTTCTTAAAAAGTACCGGAGAAAAGAAGAATAATATTACTATATTGACAACAATGAATGATCCCTGTAAGAAAAATAATAAGGTTTGGTATGTTTTAACATATTTTGTAAAAAATCAAATTTTATATGTTTAAATTTTGGAATGTTTTTATGCTAACTAAGTGTAATAAACAAGCATGTGACAGTCTGTTATAAACTGCAGTGTAACTTTTGTTCCATACATAGTACAGGAATGATATTTGGACACATATATAACAAGTCTCCATTCCTTATGTACTACTAAGGGCAAGGTCATATCAAGAGGTCAAAGGTCAAATATTGTGACGTTATCTACTGAATCTGTTCGTTTTTTTGCCATTAAAATTTTTTTGATCCCATAAATTTTTGAAACCATCGGTTCAATTTTCTTTATTTTTACACATTTTATTCTAGGATCCATTAGAATCATTCTGTTGATTTTTTGTAAAAATTGAATTATACATTTTTTTCTTAGGAAAACTTAAACTGTCGGATATTACATGTGAATTTTCAATTCCGATGCTACGTATGTTCTATTTTTACTTAATATTTTACTCAAATTTTCCATTCAAATTTTTGCAAAAAAAGGATATCATAAAAGTATTATACAAATTTGCAATAGATCAATTGATAATTCTAAAAAAAACATTCTCAAGTCATAAAATAATTTCACAATTTTCTTACAGGGGTCTGATAGGCCATATTTCAGATCATGTGGGCAAAATTTGTTTTTCATATCATATATAAGGAGAGATTTTGCATCCTAGGAAAACTGAATTTGAGGAAAAATTTGGCCTATCTATTGTGTCCTACCTTAAATATCGATTTTACAAGACATGCCAGGGAGAAAGCTATTTCCTTACACATTTAAATTTTATATCCCCGAATGCAATCATTTTAATATTAATTTAGAGTGCTTCTTAAATGACCGATATCTGCAGCTTTGTTTGTAATACCTGTCATTTCCTCGTGAATGTTTTAAATGTCTGCATGCACTGTTAAAGTAGGACTGAGGTTTGGTTTTCATACTTCCTATTTTGCGTTCTGAAATAGCCATTTGGCTGAGATAGTAGGAAATAAAAATTCTAAGAAAGGAAGTAAAGAATATCATTTCTGATTAAAGTCGGTGCTTTTTGGTGTCTCCATGATATTTAGACATAGTGGACAACTGTTCTTCAGTATAGAACTCTTGAATTTACAAACTTTGTCATTATTGGTCATTTGAAAAATTATTTTGTTTAAAACATTCTAATTCTATAAAAGAGTATATGTATGCTGATTTTTTTTAAAAAGTTTCTAACTGACAATATCTGTGTAGATTTTGGAGATCAGATACTAATACTAGTATTCCAAAAAATGTTCCCATGTTCCCATGGGTACCAATTGCATCCAGTTAATAGCAGACCTATTTTTGTATTTATGAAGCAGAATTTATTCAAAAGACAAGTAGATCTAGAGAACAATGGCTGTGACCCTCAACTCGTCATTTAGATAATTAATTATATATACGATGTATTATCAATTACCATTGATTATTAATTTCTATTCTTATACCGATTCGATATATTCCAATGAACTTGGATTAAATGATACCAAAGAGTAAGACACGTATACATATTTCATGTATGGATATTTTATTGGAAAAAAGTTAATAGTAATCTAACTACAAATCTTTATGGTAAACGTGTAGACTTCAAATTTCTCTTGCAAACATCCCTATTAATATTTACTTATGTAGCAATATGCCTTTGTCACATACAATATGGAATTTATTTCTCTCAATTCATTTGATACTCAGAAGCATGTCCTGCGCATGAACAATTTATAAAATGAGGGAAGATAAGCCAATGGAGTTCCTGAAATAATATTTTCAACAGTTTCATTTGAAGTAATAATTTCTTTAATTCGATGATCGATACAGTGACTTTGTCAGTAAGTACCGGGTATAAGAAGATGGGGGGATAAGGTGGGCGAAGTGCCTATAGTGCGACAGATAAGAAGTGAAAATTTCAATCTCAATTAAATCCAAATTTTATTTGATATTTCATCTTATATTAAAGTATTCTTTATGTAAAATCTCTTCAATTTACAAAAATCTCACAAAAACAGAAAATATTTGCCTATGAAAAAGCTTACACACACTAAAAAGAACAAAAACGATCATTTTCTCGTACTTCAACAAAATTTTTCAATATGAGTGGGTATTCGTTCCATTTTTTCGAAAGATGATCCTAAAAGTTTGCAATAGAATACACATTTTTTGATTTACAAAAATATGGAGCGATGACCCACTATACCTTTAAAGTACACTTTTATAACACAACATTCGCATCTTTCCGAGAAATACTTCAAGCCCATTAAGTCGCGGGTCATATCACAAACATGATTTAAATGTCCAAAATCACCAAAAGTGATGTAGCAAAGTGGTTAATGCATTAGTCTGAAAGCATTATGCTATTGATACGTCGGATTTTTATTGCTAGTGTTCGAATCCCACGAAAAACATCTTTTAATTTTATGAAAGAAAATTATTTTACGAGATTTTTTTTCTCTTAGAAAAGTCTTTTTTGCTCATAATTTCAAAAATTTTAATAACTAGATGTTAATTGAAATACTAAATTCACATATTGAATATGATTTCTTAATATCAGACGCTATAGGCATTCCCCACCTTGTTCCCCCATCTTCTTTATCATTAATGTGTTTCATACCAATTTTTACACCATTATTTACCCACTAAATTGTCTACGGATTTTTCAGTCTGCTCATCATGATAAGGATCACTCGAAATGTGACCGGTCTACGGATTTTTTTTTGGTTATTTTTTGTTATTCTACTCCCGATTTGTGCTATCAAATTGGAATTGAAAGCTCAAATACTGTTTCTTATCTCCATATTTCATTTCATGTAAATGAATACCATACGTTCTAGAGGGAAGGGAAGGCGGAAATGTCCGGCTATAATCAAATATTAATTGTGGATCATCCTTCTCTATAATGGGGAGAAAAAACCTAATAGTGTATAAAAGCGTCAATTCTTATAATACATTTTACGTCAAATATAATCTTACAGTGATTAGGCCAACATTTTTTATTTACTGTTTTACGGCAGCGCCGACCCTACTTTGTTTTAAAAGATAATTTGTGTAAAAGATTTAACAAGCCTTTCAAAACGTGAATTGTCATTGGCTATTTAAGTAAATATATCCATCCAATCACAGTTGGCAAAACTAATTGTGCTATCAAATTTAGCGGCAAAATATCAGAATCGTAGAGTAATTTTTTAAATGCACCCAGTCATTTTAAAAAGTGACATGACATTTATTAGAAAAAAGCATTAATTTTAGATTAACTTTTAATGAAAGACCATATTTCATTTCATGGAATAAATGAATTCTGTCAACCCCTTGTTTTGGGAGGTTTTAAGAACGTATTATCTTTGAAAATTGTTTAAAAGCATTGAAATACGGCTTGAAGATTATTCTTAAACTTATTTTTAATACAGTAGTGTTTTCTTTTACTTGTAGAAAGAGAATAGAACACTGTAGAGTAGAAAGTGACGTGACTGAGGAAATTCGAGTCACAACTTCCACTCGTTATTATAATGTTAATCAAACTTATTACGATTCAAAATGGAATTTTACTTGCTATGTAAATATTAATTGTGGATCATCAACCTTTTTACCACTCTACTATAACAAATATGACTTCTTTTTTTATTAAAAAATTGTGGATTAGAACCAGCTTTTAGAAATATAAAACCTAATATACTTATGTATAATAGAAAGTTATAGCAAATATTTTCTTGTTTTCAACAGACAAGATACATTTTATCCACCTACCGGTACAATTCCATTCTTAATTCAAAAAATAAAAAAAAATGGTACATTTGTTTATTTTATTTTTATTTTTCTGACCGACTGCTTGAATTTGAAGATTTTATTTTTATTTCGACCCCCCGACTCAAATTTTTGAAAAAAATTACCGTAAAACAGGAAATAAAAAAATGTTGGCCTTAGTACAAGTTCACGACCGACTGGCTAAAATCGTCCTACTGAAAACTTTCTTTTACATGTAACCAGGATGCAATTTAACTATTTTTAATGCATTTGTTAAGATATATTTTGAAAATTCTGCACTGGAAACATTTTCTGGAAAAATTCTCACCTACTACTGATCCAATTCTTATATATACCCCCGCTTGAAAAGCGAGAGGGTATTAATGATCGGGAAGTCCGTACGTCCGTCTGTCCAGCTGTACGTCCGTCTATTACGCTTTGGGGTACCTATCTCTTATCCGCAACTCCTCTTTTACCACTGAATAAATGAGACTTTCACAGAATTTTTGTTATATAGTGCCATTGTGACCTCCTATTTTACTTTTTGATCGGACACACATTTTGGGTTTCCCAGTGCAAAACATGAGTATGGCTAATGTTTTTTTAAATATATTATTGAAGGGTACCTATATCTTTTATTCGCAACTCCTCCAATACCACTGAATAAGATTAAGTTGAATGATACTTTAACAGATTGTTTATTACATAATACCATTGTTCACCTTCTATTTTTACTTTTTGATCTGACGCTTTATTTCAGGTCTCCCATTGCAAAACATGGACTTTGCCATTATAATCATATGGGAGGCGCGGGGGTATCATTTAAGTACGTCTAGTTTATCCTGAATCAAAAGAGGACAAAGAAATATAATTAGAATTTTGCCCTTACAGCAACTTTTCTGAAATTTCGATATAATCATTTTGCCAAGTAAAACTATAGTATTGGCAATTTCTTTTTCAGAATTTATCTATATCAAAGTTTTAAAGTACAAATAGTCAGAATACAAGTCTGAAATAAAACTTGAGGCTGTATACTTTTGTACTAGTATAACAACCGTCAGTACTTTAGGGTCTCCGCCTTGGTGTTTGTAAGGGAATTAACACAACACTCGAAACAATTTCCGCTTACGTTGTAAATTCACACAATGAGTTTCTTTTATATTTTGATATTCTTTAAATTTCGTGCTCAATGACAGTGCAATCCTCATGACAATGACCAGGCAAGCTTGCACTACACTCACAAGTTTGACTTTTTATTAAGAGAAGACGGATGTGATCGTATTTACCCAGAAGAAGGACTGAATTGTTATCACTTAAAATGGCGAACCCAAGTACTAAAACTCTAACAAACAATTCAATGAGAAAAACACAACACTCTCGTCTTTTTTTGTAAGTTACATAAGTGTTTATTCACAACTTAATAGCTTAACAATATAAATTGTAAAATGTTACATCAACTTTTATCTTGAGCTCACGAAATTTGATATTTAAGTAAAACTATAGAGTCTTTTGACTGCATAGTGTCATAATTGAAGAAAATTGTAGAAATACATTGCCATTTTAATCAGTCTAAATAATGAAGAATATTCCACACAAAATTATTTGTCAATCGATAGCTTTTAATGAGAAATTTACATAAACTGAAATCACCCCCATTTACATATAATTGTTAGTGCACTTTTACAGTTACATTAAACAAAAAAAAACTTTACAACCTCTAAACATGTACATGATAAAAAAAATCGTAGTCCTTTCTTTACATGTCTGAGCATCTGTACATGTGTAGATATGCAAATACCGCCCGTAATTTTATTTTTAGACAAATAATGAACACATACACCTACTTACTCTGATTGAGCAGTAATATCTGGCCCAGAATTCCACAAAAAAACGCAGGCTCGGAGCAAAAAAAAAAATTGCGTTTTTGAAAATTAATATCACATGTATCTGATTGAAAAATATGTACACGTATGTCCTGTTTATACATGTACTTCATCACACAACATAAATATGTGACGGTAATAAAACCATCTTCACAATATCAAGATTTGTGATTTCGGAACTCCACACAACGTTTGTGTGAAGTTTCGAGAATCACAAAACCTTGCTTTGTGAGGATGTAATAAATACTTACATAATTGTCATATTACAACTGTAACGGGTAGAGGTCAAATATTGTAATTTGATGATATTTCACTTTAACACGTTAACCGGTGTTTTATGTAGGGATAAAGTGGTCTGATTTCCAGATACCTGCGTATAAAGCAATTGGTGATACACTTTTACAGCTTAGAAAAGCGCTGAACTCGGGACACCTATAATTCATTGATACCAACTTCTGCATTCTTTACTGACACTAAACATGCTAAAGCAAACCTAAAGACTATGTATGATGTTAGCAAGAAAAGTTGAAAATATGTCCACAGATAACCACTGACACATGATAGATTAAGAAAGATTAAAGGAAAACATCCGGCAAGTATTTCCACTGCCCAGGGAAAATTCCCCATTTTTTACACAAACAAAAAGCGGTAATAAAAGGACATCAGACACTAGCAAAACGACCATATTCAATTTAAAAAAGATCTTGGATCTGAAAATTTAAATCCACTAACCCCGAAATAAGAATTTTTTCATTGACCACACTAATATGTTGATTGGAGACAGGCCAGGAAAAATCCCGAATGGCAAGTTTACAATGCAGGGTTTTTAAAAAACCTAAAATTCCCCAATACCAGGGGCAAAAAGTCAAAACAAATAATGAACGAATGTAATATTGAATGTCTAAAAAATACTATTTGTTATGCTTGTGAATCTTCCCTATAGCTTAATTTGTCAGATTCTAAGGAGGATGGTTTGCTTTCTGGGGTTTCCACGGGAATTCTCTCGTTTCTCTTGTAAAGCAATGTCCCTACTTTTGGCTCTGGTAAACAATCTGGATCCACATCTATATTTGCATTTGGGTCTACAGGTTTGCTACCCGTCAGTAAATCTACAAACATGGTAAAATATTAAAGAGTGTATGTCTGATATTTTAACAAAATAAGGGAATATTTACATCCACTGAATATTTTCTCCTTTATTTCTTACCAAAAACCCATTGCGTTAATCACTGCATGAACTACATTAGGCATGTCGCCTGTACAGATTTCTTGATCTGTGGCTGTTCCATCAATGAAACGTATAAAGACGTTCGCATTATTAATACAATAATTAAACTTTTTAATCCTTCTTTAAATGATTATTTAAAAAGATAAAATATAAACAATAAAATGTCTTTCTTTCTTTGTTATTACTGTAATTAACGGTCGCAGCTATTGCAGAAAAAATTTACATAACCCGCTTACGCGGGTTATGTATTTTTTTCTGCAACAGCTGCTTCCATTAATTCTGATTGGTTCGTTTTTAAATCTCATAAAAAAACAACATACCTTTCTCCCCCTCCTATTAATTGTTTTATAGAATAATTCACTCAGTTAATGTATTTTCTAATTAGCACCATTTCCAAAAAATATAGCGATCTTTACATATGAAGACACAGAAATATATTTGGTTTGTTGGTTAACTGTTTTTCTTATTTAAAAAAATTGTCTTTCGTAATTCAGTTTTACAAGTACAGTTGTACTTTAAAGTATCTTGAATACTGATATATCCAATACCATATATATATATATATATATATATATATATATATATATATATATATATATATATATATATATATATATGTCGTCCCAACCTCTTTCTTCTTAAAATATTTTACCCCTGGATATCTCGAATCCTCGGATATCTCGAATTTTTTTCTTGGTCACATCGAGTTCAAGATAACGAAGTTTGATTGTGTATGTATTGACATAATGGTTTACTAGAATTCCATTCATAATGCAAATGGTTCATATCACAGGCCTTTGGATCGCTTAAAAAAAATTTTGTGTATAATTTTTTCAACACCTCAATTTTTTTTTCTAAGCGATCTAAAGGACTGTGGTTCATATAATCCTCACAGGCCTGACTATTGTTATGCTATTAGGATTGAAAGAAGACTTACTGTGTAATTGTATCTTTTTTCGTTCATATTCCTGGTTTAATTTCGTCACTATAAATGTCTGTGTTCCATTTTTTAATATTGCGTCAACTAGTCCCATGTAACACATTGGTCCCTTCTGAAGCAAGATGTCCAAGAATTTCTCGGCTCTCTGTTTTCTCGATATTTGGAATTTGATCACCTCTTCATCCTCGGCCGTTAGGAGATGCTTTGATCTCAGGTAAGCAAAGTGATTCTGGGGTTCCAGGTATTTACAAAGGTAAAATCTCTGTTCTTCTAATATCTGGAATAAGAAAGGGAATGAATCTATTTAAGCTGATATTCATTATATATATTGCTACCATTTTTGAAATTTTGCCCATTGTTGATATTAATACATGTAAATAAACAATACACGTCTGTATACATATTTTCCCGCTTAAAACTTATATAGAAGTGAATGTAACCAGCTGATTAGTAATGTTCAGGGATAAGATCATTATTAAGTTTGCTGTGATAAAATGCTAACATAATTTGGTCCTATTACAAATAAAACATAGATAAATACAAAATATCACAACTGTCAAATCGTTAATTTTCTCGGCCAAATATGGTCAATAACGTACTTTGTTTTTTATGAGAGCTTTTTGATAAATTTTAAGCCCAGTGAGTCTCCATACACAATGTTTTGTACCCCTATGAGATCTAGATAAAGAACTCAAAATCTGAAATGCTAGATACTTACATTTAAGCTGACTTCGTACTGGATCTCTTCTTCTGACACGTTTTTACCATTCATAATGAATGGCATCAATTGTACCTCATTATATGTAATTTTTTCCCAATACGTGAATGAGTGTTCGGTTCCTATTTGTTTACCATGCACTTCCTTGTCAGAAAATGGGGTCATCGAGTAGTAAAATTTAAAATCCCGTTACTGACAAAATGATGTATCTTGAATTCCGAATAAAGGCAAAGTTTTAACTGACTTCACGGGTGTTTGCCCTAATTCTAGTAGCTTTAGGGTTGTTTTTCAACTTGAAAGCAGAGACATAGATAACTTTAATAATAGAAACTGGAAAAACGGTTTTCCCCCGAAATTTTTCACCCTAAAGCACTACAAATATATGATAGAAAATTTTGAAAAGAATGTAAAAAAAACTTATATATACTGTAATTTACAAGTTTTCGAAAAATGAAATATTTAAAATATAAAGTTTATAATCTTTTAATAATTTTTTTTTCAGACAACATACAGCATTATATATATAGGCCCTATATCAGATACACTGTTTTTATGTATCAGTCAAAAATGATTTATTTAAAAACGACTTAGAAAGACAAACGGGTTACATTATCAATATCGAGTAATGCATGCTTATTAGACTACCAAAAATAGGAAAAAGATGCGTCGACCCCCGATTTAAACAGAAAATGAAAACTGGGAAATGAACTCTTAGTTGGTATACGTGATCAAATCTACTGAGAAGCCCTTCGAGCTTCACAGGATTTGATCACGTGAGCAACTAAAAGTTCATTTCCCAGAGAACTTTTTACCATTATTGTTTATTTCTTCATTAAATTTACTTACTAACGCCTGTATCTGACATCGTAGATGCAAGATGCAACATAAATATGTAGACATACGACTTATTTATGTCAACATGCAAGATAATTATGTCAGCATGCAACTTATTTATGTCAACATGCAAGATAATTATGTCAACATGCAACTTATTTATGTCAACATGCAAGATAATTATGTCAACATGCGACTTATTTATGTCAACATGCAAGATAATTATGTCAGCATGCAACTTATTTATGTCAACATGCAAGATAATTATGTCAACACGCGGGTTAATTATATGTACATGCAACTTATCATGTTAACATGCAAGATAATTATGTCAACATGCGACTTATTTATGTCAACATGCAAGATAATAAGTTGCATATCAACATACATATCTTGCATGTTGACATAAATATGTCGCATGTTGACATAATTATCTTGCATGTTGACATAAATAAGTTGAATGTTGACAAAATAATCTTGCAAATTGACATAAATAAGTTGCATATCTACATATTGTTCTTGCATGTTGACAAATAAGTCGCATGTCTACATAATTATGTTACATCTTGTAACTACCACGTCAGATACGGGCGTTAGTAAGTAAATTTAACTACATTCAAATTATATTTTCTTATTACATCTGTAACTTGCATGTCCACATAATTAACTTGGATGTTGACATAAATAAGTTTCATGTCTACAGTTAACATAATTTTTCTTGCATGTAGGGGGCAGTAATATACGGAAACGTATAACCGCCTCGTGTTGTTGTTTTAGAACGCGATATCATGATATAAAAATGTTGCCAAATACAATTACTTCAAGGTTTGGCGATATAATTATGACAACAATCTCTGATGTATGCTACTTTTCTACTATGTTTTAGACGACTTATACGCTTTGATGTATCCAAGTTGAATTCCTAAATGTCGTACCTAAAATAATAAGTAAACATTATGTCGCTAAAACTAGATATCGCAGACATTAGTGCAATATAACATAAATGAAGACTTTGCTTAGACGAGTTGATTTAATCAAAGAGAAAAATTCAACAAAATTCGAACGACTTATAACATCAGATTTATACAAGATACAAGATTTTATCAGTCCAATTTGGGCTCTTGGAGGAGCAAAAAGAAAAAATTGCAACCAAAAGAAGGAGGAGGATCCAATTGATAGAACAAACATGATCTTACATATAATGAGAGCAGTTGATAAAAATGTACTAGTATATAAGAGATATACTGAATATATATACATGAAATGTATATATGTTATAATAGCATTATAAAGTGAAAGGCAAGAATCTGGGAAAAAGTACATATTTGCATATCAAAATATCCTCAATTAAGGTAGATTACCAAGGAATCTAGCAATTGATATAAGGATGTCAGGGTCTTAATTAGTCATGAGCCAATAAAATTGATTATCATAAGATAGAGACTGAACTTTTAACATTTAATTTTACAAATATTTAAAAGTTCAAGTCTTTTTACATTAAGATGAGGACATACAAGGAAAAACTGATTTTCATCCTGAATATAACGTATTGCATTGAATTGATGCCTGATTTAAATAAAATAATTTAAATAGTTATAGGATATCTTGCAGGCTCTTCTCTTCCCTAAAAAATAAATCTTATGAATGTTTCTTCAAAAGACAGTCACTATATTTGGTAATACTTGTCCACTATTTAATGCAAACTATGATAACGATATCTTTAATCATGTTCTTAGCTTGGAGAACATATGCAAACATATAAGCATTTAATATTTTCGTCTGATGTAATATCATGCATTAAATATGCCTTCACATCTGCACTTACTCTATACATGTATTTTAAAATTATGTGTAGACTGATAAAATGAATGAAATAATTTGCACTTTGTCCTCTTTCTTTTTAAAGATAACACACAAGCTCATTAGTTAGTATTGTCACAGACGCAATTCCCCCCCCCCCCCCCCCCCAATAATGTTATGAATCATTTAGTAAATTCAGATTTATGTTATAATTTTAAAAAATCATATACATTTTATGAAGTTGATCTTTGAGAACATTTAAAAAAGCATATACATAAAGAATATTAACACTGTAAAAACTGCAAATGTCCTTTTGTTTATTCTGAGAAAAAAACATTGCAATTACTGACAGCATGAAATTTTAGATTTTTATTTCTAAAAATCATGTATTTTTTAAATAATCAATTTCGGAGAATAAAAATTAGGCACGTAGCTACGGTTTTCAAAGAGTGTCCCGAGTCCTGAGAAAAGCACACACTAGAAAAAAGAGGAAAGCATTGTCTAGACATGCACTACGGGCTTGCAATTACTTTAGTGCTATAATAATTTGAATTATTTTATTTTAATCAGACATCAATTCAATGCAATACGTCATATTAATAAATCTGATGTTACAAGTCGTTCGCATTTTGCTGAATTTCCTCTTTGATTAAATCTAGACGTCTTCGCGAAGTCGTCATATTTGTAATATTGCACTAATGTCTGCCATATTTTAATTTTAGCGGCTTAATTTTTACACATAATTTTAGTGCGACCTTTAGAAACTCAACTTGCAGGGCCGTAACTACCATTGAGGCTACGGAGGCAATTGCCTTCTCTAGATTTTCATTTTTTTTTTTTGGAAATAAGAAACACAACACAAGCAGCTGGATCAAGATTGATCATTTATTTGTTTGATTATAGCCACCTGAGCAATTTTTCAGCAATCCAGTGAGTGTCACCATTACCTATGCTCGGCGTTCAGGGCCTTTAGCATGCAGATAGATTTGTATCCAAACATTCACGTCACCCTCAAGCTGCTCTTAACTCTACCAGTAGGTTCATGTTCTTGCGAGAGATCGTCCTCGGCACTCCGGCGGTTAAAGACATGGTGTAGAGCCACAATGACAGAAGATCGGCTCTGTGGTTTGGCTATGCTCCATGTCCACCGGAACGATCAGGTCGGCCAGGTAAACGCAGAGTCCGTGTTAAGACGGTGGGACATGGGAGGAAGCAGAAAGATCCATCTTGCGTTCTCTGGTGATCAAAGCTAGACGATCACCATTAAGCCTTCAGACAATATTGAAAATGGGAATTACGATTGCAATTTATTTGATCATATCTATCCAAAATAGTACATAAACAGGTAATATAATAAAGTGGTAAGCATCCTCAAAATCAAGGAAATGGTCCAAAATTGAGCCGTTTGAAGCAATTTTCAATCGGCGGCCCCCAAACCCCCGCCTCCTCTATCTTTTACCCCTAGTTACGGCCCTGACTTGGATATATCAAAGTGTATAAGTCGTCTAAAACATATCAGAATAGTATTATTCATCAAAGATTATTGTCATAATTATATCGACAAACCTTGAAATAATTGTATTTGACAACATTTGTATATCATAATATCGCGTTCTAAAACAACAACAGCGGTTATACGTTTCCGTAGTAATATGCCACCATAGTTTATAAGGTGGACATACAAATAAAAAAAAGAATGATGTCCATCTTCAACAACAGTTTGACAATTAATACAGTATCTTTCATCTCTTGGTATAATTAGATTACAATATATTTAAAAGTTCGTTGTTTTTTCCAAGATGGCAAACATTATTTTCAAGTTTGTTTCGAGTTACCTCTCTTTGGTTACAAGGAAACTTCGATTTTCGACGAATATCCTGCTGCAATTTTTTCTCCATTATTTCCCTATCTTTTCCCATAAATTTCGTTTGAGTTGACACCTCTGTATTCTTATTTTAAGAAAATGGTACAATGACTATCATAATTTGGTGAAAATTAGAACTTCGGCTAGTATCTTAACAGACTGTTGATATTTAAGGTAGTCCGATCCTCAGGTTTATAAAATTAGCAGTTAAGTAGTAAAACATACTGTAATATATCACTTGATTTGTAAACGTAATATTATGCGGTCGTCCAGTTCTCATTCTTGTTAAATCTATGTTCAACATGTGCCTGCCAGGAAAGTTGTTCGTTTATGATTTTATTGGAAATAATATGTCAGCTTATCTAGATACGATTTTAGTAATAGCTATTATCATCATAATTTACCTGTTGTCGCTTCATGTAATATCGTAGGAGTTATAATATCGGGGAATAGAGGGTGGATTTTACTTTTCATGTTTTGGAAGCCATCATACTTTACTCGGATCGTCATTTCCGGTTTGGTGACCTATATGTATTTACTAGTAATGCATTGTTCTATTGAAGTTATGAATATGGGATCGTATTCTACTTTTTAGTTTGAGTTGTTTTGTGATTTGAAGCTACAAGTTGTTATTTATTGTTAGCATTCACTTTATAATCAGTCAGCTTTATCGGGACTACAT